TGTGCAATGCTTTGGTAATTGGAGCTCTCAGACAGGATAGAGGAGAAAAAGATTTAATTCCATTTTCTTCTTGAAGAAAAAGTTTGTTTGGCTCTCAGTGTTGCAGCTGCTGTTTATGGAGTATATTTGAACAGGAGGGAGAGTGTATATTTTAAATTCTAGTTGTTGAAACTGTTCCAATTCAATATAAAACAGAGCTTCAACTTGCTGAGCGTGAGCATGACGATAGGCTGGTTATGTCCAGAGACCTCTTTCTTACCTGGAAAGGAAGAGAGAAACTCGGCTTTAGTCTCTGTTCTGCAAAGCTCCTCTCTTTCAAAATGCTCTTGTGGCCAGTTAAGATTTCACTGTGCACAAATAAACAGCTTCACCGTGAAGATCTAAATTTGCTTTGTTCTCATACCCATGGGTATTCTTGAAAATGTGTTTTAGATCTCTTAAAGAAATTCAAACACTCTTGCCCAATGCAGAGCAGGGAACTGAATCGCTGATCTTCCACATCCTGATTAAGTGCTGAATTCTAGGAGGTGGAGCTTCCTTTCACTGCGGAAGTTCACACTTAGGAGCCTAGAGGGTTTTTATGTATTTTGTGATGTATCTTTTTTTATTATTATTTTTTTCCTTCCCTCCAGTTGGCCAGCAGCCAGGTAAGATCTAGCTTCAAGCAATCCCTACAAAACATGTATAATATGGACTTCAGGTTGTCAGTGTCCGTTGTAAACCATATAAATTCACTTGTAGTAAGATCTGGTATCTGCAAATGCAAGTACAACAGTACAATTTGCAACAAATTGACTACTCTAATGTCTGTCAAAACAATATAGGTTTCATGTGCGATAGACTACATAAAACTGCTTGTACAATTATTTCCCTTAATAAGCTGTTGATTTCTCTGTATATTTGATGATTTTTACCCTTTATTTAAATTTTCCTCCTATCTTGCTCTAAATCACTGATGCGTCACGTAAGTTGCTGAAATTTACTAGTCAGGAGGTCTTTCTTAAAGCATTTATTCTGTTTGATGTATTCAAGTGGCTTTAAAATTAGTTACAAGATACACTAGTTACTGTCTGTAATTTCTTTGCATCCACTTGAAAAGTCTTAAACTCAGTTGGGTGTTATTTCTCACTTTCTTCTCCCTTGAGCTACTGGAAAGTTCATTTGGGAATTAGTTGTGGGATTTTAAACCCACAGGAGGTACGTGTTGTTTTTCAAAGTAGTGAGTAACGTTCTACTCTTCACTCCATCTACCTGATGGCTGTGTTATTTAAAGAAGTGTGGGGGGAGAGGGGCAGAGTGCTAGATCCTATGGATTTTATTAGGATTGCTGTTAATGAGAACTGAGTCTGTTTCTGTCTTCTTCCCATCCAAAAGGAGCTGGCTTTTGTTTGAAATGCAGTGGGGAAAAGAAGAGTTTGTTAAAATTGAAAGTGTAAATAAATTGAATAGTGTGTTGGTGGGTTTTTTGCTCCTTTTGTGGTTCTTAAGAAGAAGAGAGGTATGTTGATCATTAATCATTTGTATTAGCTTTAAATTGTACGAGTAACGTGCATATTGTCAGAATTTAAAGGAAGGATGAGCGAGATGAGTTAGTGTTTAGTCCTTTTCAACACCTCTGCTACTTTTAACAAATATGCAGTAGAAATATAGCTGGTTTAGCTTTCTGACACATGATGTAACATGCTCTAGGGAAACAGGCTTTGCTTCAGCAAAACTATCTGTAACCCTCTTTTGTGTTTGCTAGAAGCAAATATGAGGTGTACCAGGGAAGCAGTTCTCATCTGAAGTTTTTGGCAAGTATGCTTGTGGTTTGTTTCAGGTAACCCTTTTGGAAGACTCTAAACTACATTTTAGAAAGTAGCTGTCTTTTATTCTTGAAGTAGTTAGTGAGTTTCAAATGAGCAGTCTCTACAGGATACTTGGGAAGCCTGGTAGAAGAGTGCCAACATGGAGAAAGTTCCTTGGGTGAGGGCCAACTGAACAAATGCAAGCAGGCGAGCTTTGTGTCCAGACTTGCGTTTCAGCTTGTGCTGGTGGATTTAATGTCCGGAGAGCTCAGGCACTGAGGCATACATTGCAACAAAAATACTACAGTACAGTATGCCCGGTTTCATTTGCTGCCGTGTTTGATGTTGGGAGGATTAAGGGGAGGGGAAAGGATCAACTACCCAGGATGCTCTGTTAGGAGGAGTAAGTGAATTTGATTGTCGTCAGAACCAGATTGCCATATGAGTTCTGAAAAGCGTTTGGCTCCTGAGAATAACTGCTCTAAAAATAGATTTGGAGGAGAGGTTTCTCTTGGGTCCAGTTTCATGTTCCAGCTGAGCTGGCTATAGGGAACTTATTTGCTCCTGTTGCAAGACTACAGTGAGGATAAATCATTTCTGCCTTCAACCTTAATTTTTGGAGATATCGACACACTTGCTCTGTCTCTGGAAATCAAGCACTAATGTTATGGCTGACGACACAGGTATAATCCTAACCTTTTTGTGAACAAATGGAAAATGCATAGTTGCAAATACCAGCTATGTTTGATTTTGTAATCAGCAAAATAACTGGCTTACTGTGGTATGTTGATGTTTTCTAGCCAGTTTGCTGTTCTAGTCTGCGCTACAGGCTGCCTCTGTTGTCTTTGATTTAATGTTCTCTGGAGTAGTGGTATTAAATGAGTTTATAGAAGGTGGTTAATTGTAACTTAGTTTTTGCTTGAGTAGAGCCCACATTAACAGAAGACGTTGCTTTGTCTTCAGATATCTGACTTTGAAGTTATTTTCGGAGTATGTATCTTTAACATAAGCTAAAGTGAAAGGAAAAAGGTTTTCATACACTTTTATCTAGGTGTGACTCTTAATGCGGAGTGGGTGAGGAATAGAACATGCTTTAAGACTTTCTGATGTCTGCATAAAGACATCTGGTGGTGTAAGCACAGGCTTACCAGATATGGCAAGTGACCTACTTCTGACATGGCTGGCAGCATGTTCTGGGAAAGGGCTTGAATTGAGAATTAACTGTCTGGAATGAGCTCTGAGCCAGCATCAGCCCTTGCAATGCTTTGTACTGACCCTTTTTTCAGAGGCAACTAGCAGTAAACAGTAGAAAACAGTAAATAAGAAATACACTAGGAGTCTTTTTCCTGTTTGCCTCTTCTAATACCTAGTTTGCTCTAGAACAAAGTTGTGACCTGGACTAATTTAAAATGTTTTTGGACTTAAAGTTTCATTTTAAATATGTACAAAGCTTTAATTGACTACATGGAAACACAGGAGTCGCAAAGTTCTGCTGTCACATAGTATAATTGTTTATTTCTGAATATGAAAATTTCCAGTCTGTTAAATAATTTTCACGTACAGTTGATCATATTTCTGAACATACCAGCACACGCCGCTTGTCTTTGCCTTTGTTTTCAAGCTACCTGTAAGTCTTTCCCACAAGAGAGATGTTATGATGAGTTATGTATATGGACCTTACACATATGTAACTAGGGTGCTGCGCAGTAGCAAGCGATACATGCCAGATGTGAGGCTAAGTTGTCTTGGTTTCTCTCTGAGTATTATTGGACAGCGTATACCAAGGCAACTTTTTGTTTAATGTAGAAAAGAAACTAAATAATTGGTATTTGATCTTTGGATGGAGTACACTTAATAAAACATTATTTTTTTTTTCAATAAAATGCTGAACTGAGTAGGAGCTGGCATGAGTCAGTTTTATTGGTCTGAAATCAGTAGATAGCACAATGAATGTAATAAAATGTTACTTTATTGCAACTGTGAACCTGATGGCAAGCAAGGTCTGAAAGTACTTCTATATATCTGTTACAGAAATCAGTCACCAGTCTCTCATTACTCATCTTTCAGAGCTACTCCATTTTATCCTAAAAAAACCCCAATTATGTTGATACTTGACTGTTGAGAGTATCTTTTGTCTTTTTCTATGATAGGTGTTAATAAATACATGAAATATTACTTGCTGGTATTATGATAAAGGTAATTCTCTACCTTATTATACTATCACAATATTTGTGAGAGAGTTCCTCAAATATTTCAAAATATGTAAAAAATAGTTCTGCTTCAGTAACTAGGACTGAATGTACAAAGGTTGGTGCTTAGAATGGAATGAAGTGAAATAGGCTGGAAGAGATGAAACTCCGGTCAAGTGCCAGCCTTGTAGCAGTAGTATCAGGAGGCAGAAGAGCAGAGCACTTGAGCTTTAGAAAAAGGTCGCGGGCATCTTTTTGGATGCACATTTATTTACTACATATATCTCTCTTTCCATATCCTAAAGCAATGGACCAAGCAATTTGGCTTCTCTAGTGGTGATTGCCCATTTCAAACCCCCTACCCATAGGCTAGATTGAAGTCTTTCTTTTCCTAGTGGTTTATCTATAATTACTGGGGGTTTTTTATATACACTTATTTTTCATATGTGCAGTTATAAATGAAGCTATGATTTGTATTAAATCTCTGTGTCATTCTTGTGTGTTTCTTGAGACTTGAAGTCTAAAGGAATTCAGCGTGTAGTGTATCTCTGCTTGATTCTAAGCAACAGGGAAGGCATTTTTAGTTGTTAGAGTGTCAGAACTTGGAGTCTTACCCTTAATATGGTTTAAATTTTAGAGCTTTCTCAGGCTATTTGAATTTTCATGTTGATTCCGTGAGCAAATTGGCCTAGCTTTGAAACTTGCTACAGAGGAAATGCTTTTCTTCCAAGCTGTTTCTGCTGGTCAGATTGCCCTCTGGTGGCATTTTGAGAACTGTTGACACAAATGCAAAGCATCTCAAAAATGTTAAGCTCTGTATAAATACACGCAAAGGGGAGGAAACAGGGATTTCCAACTAAGTTGTTTAGACAAATTACATGTGAGGTTTTTGGTGTTTGGTTGGTTATATGGCTTTTGCTTTGATCATAATTGAGTTTCCCACTGTAATTCACAGTGATATGAAAAGCAAGTAACAGTGTTGCAGTTAAAAACAAAACAAAACAAAAAGTTAGTCAAATGTCTTGTGTTCTGTGTAGTCATAAGAAAAAAGACTTATTATTCTACCCTCAATCACAATTTTCCAACTTTTCGACAAATAAATTTTTCTTTCTTGTTTGCCGTATTTTAACAGAGACGAAGCATGGAGGAAGCAAGAACGGAAAGAAAGAAGGCCTCTCTGGAAGCTCATTTTTCACCTGGTTTATGGTAATTGCTTTGCTGGGAGTTTGGACATCAGTAGCAGTTGTCTGGTTTGAACTTGTAGATTATGAAGAAGTTCTAGGTAAGTATTTTAAATCTTAAGATACTTCTAATAACTTATGATATGCATTAAATGGAGGTCATTTTAAATTTCTAGACAGCTGAATTGACTACTGCGATGTTTGCAGATGACCTACATGATAAGAATAGGCAATGTAGTCCAAAAAGCACATTTTAATGCTGAACTCTATTATGATATTAAAATGGGATTCTCATAAGACTGGAAAGGATTATTAACATACTGCATTTATTAAAGTATTGAAGAAATCTCCAAGGATAGATCTGGATCTCTTTGTAGTGTGTATACTGTAGTTCATTTGAAATGTCAACTGAGTATACATTGTTTCAGTTTAAGCTCTCAGAAACTTGCAGCAGTGGTTGAAAATCGGCAGCTCACGTTACTGCTCCTCTGATGGACTGTGTTGCCTGCAGAGCCAGGGCAACTGATCAGTTATCCTCTCGTGAATGAGCTGTTGAATGACCTCAGTTTTAAGCTTATAACAGTGATAAATGTATCTCAGTATGCCAATGTTAAGATAGTATTGGTAATATTATATCTAAGGGTGAAAATTAATTTCTTTTTTCAAGATGTATGTCCATAGGTAGAGCTATAGTCCCTGATCTTGCAGGCTTCAATGTGCACTTCTGCAAGCTTTACAGATCTGTTGTGTACATGCTTTTTTGATCTGATTTTAAAAGAAGGTTTTGGTTTGAAACTTAATTGGGTCTAGTGATGCAAATAATGGTTTCTATATTTTTACCATGCATGCAGCCAAAGCAAAGGATTTCCGTTATAACTTGTCAGAGGTTCTACAAGGTAGGATATTAGAGAAATAAGATTGTTTTACAGTCCTTTGGCTAAAATTTTGGTTTACTTTTTTATGTTTTTAATTTTTGAGAATTACTAGTCTTCTGCAGTGACATGAAACTCAAGTCATTTCTCATCTGTCTCATTCTTCATGGTTTTGAAGATGGTACAATTCTTATTTCTAGAGAATTACATTTATTCCACCAGTCTCTTGTGTTTGACCATGAACTAATAAGGATTCTTTCAAATTGGTTGCTTCTGTACAATGATGATGACCTTATTTTTGTCTATTCTAAACCCAAGTCTGAACTTTTTCTTCCACAAAGCTGTTTTCTAATTTTCTAAGTACCACATGAAGGGCTGCATTTAATTTATTTTAATGGAAATCAAGTTCTGCCTCCATTTAAAGGATGACGAATGTAATAATAAACTGGCAAACTATAAGGACTTAGTCCTTCTGCAAGCAGTGTGCACAGTTTCAATCGTATTAAAGGTTGTGTCTGAATTTTATCAAAACTAATTGGCTCTCTACTCACTTGGTGATCCCAGGGCACTTCTAGTCCTGGATACTGTGATTCTAATGTTAAAATTCTTTTTGAATAGAAACTTGATTCTCCTTTTGCTTATACTTAGGGGTTGCAGAGGTGCAGTTTCAAAAATAGAAGTGGGCAATCTGATGCATTCACCTATAGTCACCTTTAAAAGGATGGACAACTTTTTTGTCTACAGTGAATGTTATATAGCTGTTGATAAAATGAATGCTTTTCCTTTTTCCAGGAAGCAGATTGCTTCCCCTATATTAACTTGGCACTAAAAATCATATACATGTATATCTTTTTTTTTCCTGAAAATTTAGAATGCCTAGAAGCATATAATCATTAAACAAACATTGATTATTTGATTAGTTCTTGTTTTTATTATTTCTTTTTCCTCAAACATGTTGAATGTTCCTTGTGAACTTAAATTTTATTCTGAACAAAACATATTCACATAAAGTGCATCACTTAATTACAGATTTGTTTTAAATCTGCAAGCACCAAGATAAATGTGTGGGGAAAAAGACTAACTTGTGTTGAGTCTAAAGTCAGAGAGATGCAGAAAGGAACTTAAATGTTTGTAATGTTTCCCAGGAAATTAAAATCTGGTTAAAAAGAGTATGGCTAAATAGTATTAAAAATATGTTAACAGCCTGGCATTGACAGTCAGCCATTGCACATTGAAAGCACTGTGTTGGAAACAAGATGCTGAGTCCTTAATGTGCTCCTCTTCCTCTCTTTGCATTTCTAGGCAAGCTTGGGATATACGATGCTGATGGAGATGGAGATTTTGATGTGGAAGATGCTAAAGTATTGCTAGGCAAGTACAAACACAGGTGGAATAATCTATATAGTACAGCTGTCATATTAATATATGATTTTTGTTTAATGTCCAAGCAATATTTCTGCTTTGGTTTTTTTTTTTTACTAATTGGAGAACTTAAATTGATTTAATAGGGATGGGTTGTTAATGCAAGTTGTAGGATTGTGTGTCCAACTTGTAGTAAATTCTGTTCTTTTTCTTCTTACACAGCAATGTAAGTGGAAAGCATTTAATGACTTGCAGGATGATTTTGAATTCAGGTGGTTGGTACTGCTGTATTGACTGTTGAAAGATGGTTGTGATTATTAATAAATTTGTCAGATGCAGGGCTCAAGTTTTGTCAAGAGTTAAAACATTGTTTATGCTAACATGTTACGCCCAGGTCCATTTAAAAATTTTTCAGCAGGCCTTTGTGCTTCTTTAGATGACTGTTTGTTTAGCATATTTTTGTACTGTCTTTCCTCTCTTCTCAGTTCTCCACAAGTCTATTCATTTTCTTTGCCCTTAAATCCCGCGTGACATGGATTTTTCTTCTTTGATATTGAAACACTGGTTTTCTGTTCTGTGTACTTTGGGACAATGTCTTTCTGCTCATTAGCTACCTTAAAAAAGAAATTTCAACTGCTAGATATGCTTTGTGATATGGTCCTTCTACTTTCATCTTCCAGAAGTTAAGGCAATACCATCTTCAGCTTTGCAATCAAGCATTGGATAGATATTTCTTGCATACCTTATGTTAGAAAGTTTACTTTTCTTTAATGGACTTACTCAAATGTACACCTGTTATGAGCACACAAAGCTAGCAAGTTAAACAAATAAAACAAGAAAACCCAGCACAGTAAATAATAACTTGAGCAGAGTGTGAAGTGGAATGTCTCAAACTGGTCAAAGTTATCATTAGTATATTACAATGTTATGGCTTGCTACTTGAAACTCAAAAATCAGTTTATCAACAGTTTGATTTTCCCCACTTAAGTTTGCAGAAAGAAGCAAGTCTTTGAGAGGTTCATTTGTTTAATCCTTTCGTGGCTCACAGAATCACAGAATGTTAGGAGTTGGAAGGGACCTTGAGAGATCATCCAGTCCAACCTCCCTGCTAGAGCAGGATCACCTAGACTAGGTCACACAGGAACGCGTCCAGGCGGGTTTTGAATGTCTCCAGAGAAGGAGACTCCACAACCTCTCTGGGCAGTCTGGTTAAAGAATACCCGTGCAATAAAAGTAACTGAACTAGTTTGTGGTGGTGTGAATGCGAGAGGCACTCCAAAGAATCTCCCGTGCTCTGAACTACTTCAGAGCTACGAATTAGGAGTTAATTATAAATGGTGAATAATGTAACACTTTGTGTAGTTATAATCCTAATCTTTATCTCTCTGTTATGTAGTGTGTAGAAAGTGGATCTCTCTCTCTTGTGGATCATATTAGTTGGATTCAAATTGCCAGGGTGGTAGCCAGAAACATGCTGCTGCTTTGTTACATTTCTGTTTTATGCAACTTGATATAGCTGGGAATTCTGCCAGTATGTGACAGTGTTTCTAATATAAGCTTGTCTTATCATGCATTTAAACTTTATACTTCAAATGTGACTTTAGAAGGTCACAGATCAAAAGTTATTTTTATTATTTTTGAATACTTTCTTAGAAGTATGATTTAATCTCTTAAGTTTAAGAATATTTTCTGCAATGCAAAGGAAATGGTAAACTTTGAAAAATTACATGGCTGAAAAAAATTATGAATATAAAAATACGTTAAAAAAAACCACCAGCATATAATATTATTAACTGACGTTCTCAGTAAATTATTGTTCTTGTTTGTATTTCTTATTTAATACAAACTAAAAAAAATTGAACATCGCTATGCAGACTAAAATTTTTCATTGATGCAGAAGCTGGAAGACTAGATACCCTCTTGAGGAATTTGTCTTCCAGAATTAAGTCTTTGTAGCAAAGAAAACCTGTAAGCCTATATTGAAATGCTTTAAGGTAACTTTCCAACTATCAAAAGCATAGGTCTTTTGATATTTTATTTGTGAGGATTTTGTTAGTATGTATGCTGTATTTGAAGACTTGTTACTTTTTGGGATTTTTCTGTGTCAGGCTGTCAGCAAGTGGTTTCTCTGCTAATTCCATATTGATTTAAAAAGAAGATCTTACTGTTTGATGTTTCATGCTAGGAAGTAATAGGCATTTTTCTTTTCAGTTCTTTAGCTATTACTAAACTACTATATATTGAAATTGTGGCTTGTACAGTAGTTTAATGTTGTCAACTTCTGTAATCTTTAGTTTCACTACAAATTTAAAGATTTAATTTGCATGTTAATGATAAACATTTTTGGGGAGTTAATTTAATGTTGATAAAGGCTCCTACCAGCCTGAGCTTATTTTATGTTCCAAAGAACGATATAGTAGCTGGTAGTAGTTTTCTGTAATACTTGGGCAAACCTATATAGAAGAATGAAAACGTGTTATTTTAGTTCTTGTATTTATAAGCATGATAGAGTCTGTTCTTTTTATTCATTGAAATGAAAGGAGTTTTAATGGTTAAGTTCTCTTGAGGTATTTGCATAATTTTTAAAATGGTGTGCAAGAAATGTGTCCTTTCCCTCTTCCCTGTGCCCCCCAAGAAAGCAAGGAAGAGGGGACAGAGAGCCCAACACCTAAAACACAGCCAGCCAACCAACCCCAAATATTTGTTGGGTTAGTTTTGTATCCATCTATACAAATATATCCAGGGTGGAAATGCAAATTTGTTGAAGCTATCTTGCAGTTATCCCACAGATCCTGTCTTTTTCACAGTTATTTGAGCTGCTGTCTACTGAATTCCTTTTGGTAATGGGAGGAGAGGATTCTTGCTCTGCACCATTGAGGGCTGCTGTTACCAGTAATTCTCTTCCTATGTTTTGTCCACCTCACTTTAATTGTTCTTTGAAGGAAATTATTCTCCTCAGGAGTGTTCTACCTCTGTACTTGCTTTAGCTCAGTAGAGAGAAACAGTGTATTAAATAGTAGTATTAAAAAAAAAAAGCATGTATAGGGGCTACTAGTGTCTGTTGTAACAGAATCTTTGGAGCTGAGCTATTTTTTATACTTCAGTCCTTTTTAACAAGCAGCAGTATCCTGACAAATTCTACTTGAATGACTGCAGTAATTAGTACAATTTTGCAACTGTGGCTACAGAAAGTCGATATATTGTTCCTGTGCATTTAGTTCAGAGTAGTGTGGCTATGCAGAAAATAGAAAAAAAGTACCTAGTGTATCAACGAGCAAAGGGTAGTAAAAAGTAAAATCCAAGCTTCTGTAAAGCAACTTTTTTTTTCCTTGTTTACCTATAGTAGAACAAGGTTTTTGCATGCAGTCATCCAAAGATTGCACGTTCAGAAAATCTCTGGTGAGATAATAGGAGTTAAAAGAATGCTTTTGAATGGCTCAGCTGTTTATGAGAAGTTTCATACTCTTTACTTTTCTCCCATTCTACTGTAGCATGTTCAAATATTAAAAGCTTGCATAAGGCTTTGTCTCATTAAATTATTGTAGGCAGGCCCTCGGTCTCATTGGTTGTGATAACACTGTTGAAGAGATAAATATTGTGACTCCCTTGATCAATGTTTGATTTAGATTGTAATGTTTAGACTTCTCTTGAAATCTCATGGTTATTTCCTGTGACTGATTTAGCGTGGCATGACTGCCTGATTGGGCAGTTCCATTTTTTCACCATTTTCAGGCACTGCTTACCTTCTTGTGTGTTAATCAGTACATGCATTTTACTTTGAAAAGCAGTTCTCAATTATGGGGATGAATGAAGAGTATTAATTAGTGATTGGGGTTTTGATCAAATTTTAACTCTTTCTAAGAAAGAAAAAAGATAAATGTATTTATACTTACTTTCTGTAACTCAGGCTGAAGCGTCCTTTTTTTTCCTTTTGATTCAAAGGCCATTATATTAATCTTTTAGTTTTTAAAAGAATAGTAAAGAAGGCATTTGAGTTTCATTTTGTGATTTTTATGATAAAGTCTATAAGAAGTATTCTTCCAGTTTCTGTGGTTTCCTTTGGTGTCTTAATCTTCACAAAGAAAATATGCTGCTGTACTCCCTTGTTCTATTTTATAAAGCTAATTGCCCTAGGGTCTTATTTTCACAGAATCACAGAA